CAGACAGATGGACAGACAGACAGATGGACAGACAGACAGATGGACACACAGACAGATGGACAGACAGACAGATGGACAGACAGACAGATGGACAGACAGACAGATGGACAGACAGACAGATGGACAGGCGGATGGATGGACAAACGGACAGACAGACGGACGGATGGATAGACAGATGGACGGCGGACGGGCAAACATGCGAACGTAAAGACAAACAGACGAATGGACGGACGGACAGACGAATGGACAGACATACTGACAATTGCACAGCGATCCTCAACTCACAGTTGCGTAATTGTTGGTAGCGGTGAAGTTGTCGTGGAAGTAGACATTGGAGTTACTGTCCATCACGCGGAAGGTCTGCACCTCGTCATTGTCGCCGATAACGATAGTGTAGAGAATGACGCTGACGGGGGATAGGTATGCAAACGAGAAGCCCATGTACTCCGACGGTCCCGTGGGTGTCATTACGCCCTCGAAGTGATCTGCGGGAAGCAGGGACAACGACGACGACGACGCACAGAGGTGCCAGAAAAATCACGCACACGAGCATGCACGTGGACACACATAAACGCACACGCGCACACGCACACATGCATACACAGAAAGAATGAATCAATTAATCAATGACTAAGCAAGACAGGAAGAAAGGAAGGAAGAAAAAAGATGACAATCCAAGGTGAGCCAATACCAGGAGCAAATAAATTCTGTCATTTTAATACAAGAATTGTTTCTGACAGCCGCCTTTGCCAAGGGGAATGTTATCTGAGAAGTCCATGCCGGGAATGTGCCAGAGCAAAGCAAGGTCAGCTGATTTTGAGGCATTGGCCAATATCCCCGCATTGCATGCTGATACAGAAAAACCTGTAACTAAAGACCACCGTGACTAGCGACCAGCCTGGTACTACAGTAAAACCTGTAACTAAAGACCACCGTGACTAGCGACCAGCGTGGTACTACAGACCACTTTGCCAGGCACGGACGGTCTCACATTCACATTATGGTTGCGCGGTGCAAACCTCTAGCTAAGGACCACCTGCCACTAAAGACCGCTTTCTCTGGCCCCAAGGGGTGGTCGCTAGTTACATGTTTGACTGTACATAGATCTATATACACATCGCTAGCTGATACATTGGTCATAGATCTATATACACATCTCATGCTGATACATTGGTCATAGATCTATATACACATCGCTAGCTGATACATTGGTCATAGATCTATATACACATCTCATGCTGATACATTGGTCATAGATCTATATACACATCGCTAGCTGATACATTGGTCATAGATCTATATACACATCGCTAGCTGATACATTGGTCATAGATCTATATACACATCGCTAGCTGATACATTGGTCATAGATCTATATACACATCGCTAGCTGATACATTGGTCATAGATCTATATCCACATCTCATGCTGATACATTGGTCATAGATCTATATACACATCGCTAGCTGATACATTGGTCATAGATCTATATACACATCGCTAGCTGATACATTGGTCAACGGCCTATGTCCACATTGCTAGCTGATACATTGGTCAATGGCCTATATCCACATTGCTAGCTGATACATTGGTCATCGGCTTATATGCAGATCTCATGCTGACAAACGATATGCTTAACCTCACACCCAGTTATTGAGATACAATGAGAATACAACTGGCTGTTCATAAGGTTGAGGGAGTTGACAATAGGAAAAATACTGAAGAAGAAAAAAAAACAGCACAAGGACTCGAACCGGGGACCCTCGATTATTGCCAGCGATGCTCTATCACTAAGGTATGCTTTGTCGGCAAAGAACCCCCCCCCCCCCCCCGGCCGTTGTGGTTGAGAAGATAGATCCTAGCAGTGGTACTGTATGTGTGTGTGTGTGTATGTGCATGCCAGCATGTGTGTGTCTGTGTCTGCCTGCACGTGTACTTGTGTGTGCATGCAAGCGTGCGTGTGTGTGTCTGTGTGCGTGCGTGCGTACTCGAATGTTTTGTGGTACATGCACATTAGCGGGTTTTCACGTTTTCACTCACAGAATCCGAATCCTTCGCTGATGCTGGGAGAGAGAGGCCCGGTGATGTCCTGAATCAATCCCATCGGTCCCGTGCTGGCCGAGATTTCGTACTGGCTGTTGAGAGCGCCAAGGAACCAGGGAATGTCCGGCCTGGACTCGCCTTCAGCTTGCTATTATGGTTAGCAACAAGGGGAAGAAGAGACAGTGAAGATAATCACGCCGCTGTGAGTGCCTAGAAATGCGCTACGCCGGTGGCTGCCGTCACACGATCAATGATTGTAATCGCTACATTTTCACTCACAGAGCAACCTGGACTCACCCTGAGCTTGCGCAGTGTGGTTAGCAACAGGAGAAAGAAGAGACATGAAGATCATCGCGCCGCTGTGAGTGCCTAGAAATATATTACTCTGGTGGCTGCAGTGTCGTCAGTTGGAGTGGATGTGGATTTTGTTTCAGCTGACACTCCCCATGGCGAATTGTTAGAACAAGACGTCATTGAATGAATGAGCCAATAATTTCCTTTCTTTACCCAAACTGGACACAAGTCTATTCCATTCCTTGGTGCTGACCGCTTGAATGCGCTGCCTGAATCCCTTCGCACTGATCACATCCCTAATTCATTTTGCCAGGAAGTCAATACATACATTCACCTCGGGCACCCGGTCAGACGGCCGTAGGGCCTGCCGGGAATGCCCAAGTAAAATAATAGAATACAATACAAATATCCAGATCCAGACATCTCTACAGGGGGGTTCCAGTTTAGCCAAAACTAAATAGCTGATGTATGTACATGTGCATGCATATGGTTTCCAGTAGTCACGTGCGTTAGCAAAATTCAGTAGGGGCACAACGACTTGATGTTTAGCTGCATCACGTCTAGAATGCGCACACCGACAGCAGTTGAATGCCGGTATCACATCAGTCAGTATTGTGCTGATTGTTGCACGTTCTGACTCACCGGTATCATGCTTATATTTTGTTTGTGTAGGACACTGGAGTATGTACCCAGTGTGCTGACAGTGCTCAACACCACGGCGGAGACAGAGCGTGATACAGAAGAACAAGGACAATCAAGGCTTGTTTGCTGCTACTTTAAGTTTCATGCTTTCGCAATCATCAGGCAACATGGATAACTTGTAAACATCTGGTCCTTCTTTTTTCACTTTAATCATTGGCTCCCAATCCGAGTCTTTTACAGATATGCAATGGAACCTACCCCAGCACCTTCGAAGTCGGCGAAGAAATCGGACACTGGCGCGGGCACAGACGGACCGGTGGTGGACCGGCGCGTGAAGGCCTTGACAGAGCGGACGCTGTTCGTGAGTCCGGCGATGAGCAGCGTGTAGTGGAAGGTGCCGAAGTGATCGACGAGAGCGGTGCCCACGCCTGCACCGGTGGTCCTGGTGCCTGCCCCACCGCCGGACATGAATGAGTAGAAGACTGTGAAGAGAGCGGAACAGACGGATGAACAGACAGATGGATAGGCATATGGACAGACAGATTCATTTTGACTTCATATGTGCCAGACGTTTCCAAATTGCTGGTATCATAGCTGCCTCCCAGGCAGAGATCACAATTGGGTCTCAACAAATCTGTCCTGCAATCTGCCAGGAAACATCGGGGGGGGGGGGGGGGGGGGGGTATTTGATTGGGCCATGGGCTCTTTGCCAACCACACACCGCTTGTTCTCTATTGAAAATATAAAATGGAGGTGTACGGCGATTGCCTAACAACGTGCATGAAACGAGTGATACCAACAAAAGTGAAGCGTGCTACTCTGCAAGTGGTATGTGCATGAAAATCACTATTGTCGATGTTATCGTGCTCCTCCACGTTACCATCAACTCCTAGCAGAAGTAACGACCTTCAAACGAGCCGCAACAGTCAGTTTGGCGGACAAAAGGCAAAGGGGAAAGAGCAGCAGCGGAAACGGAAGCACAGTCCAGGGCTACAAGCTTATCCAGATGTGTGAAAACGCCATGTCCAAGCCACGCTGGAGACCATTGCAGGACAAGACAAGGACTGATCTATTTACATCTAGCATTCGCATTATGATACAGATGAGAGAGAGGGGGGATAGAGAGAGAGGGAGAGAGAGAGAGAGAGAGAGAGAGAGAGAGAGAGAGAGAGAGAGAGAGAGAGAGAGAGAGAGAGAGAAGAGAGAGAGAGACAGAGACAGAGACAGAGAGAGAGACAGAGAGAGAGAGAGAGAGAGAGAGAGAGAGAGAGAGAGAGAGAGAGAGAGAGAGAGAGAGAGAGAGAGAGAGAGAGAGAGAGAGAGACAGAGAGAGAGAGAGAGAGAGAGAGAGAGAGAGAGAGGAGAGAGAGAGAGAGAGAGAGAGGAGAGAGAGAGAGAGAGAGAGAAGAGAGAGAACGAGAGAAGAGCAGAGAGAGAACAGGACAGACAGAGAGAGAGAGAGAGAGAGAGAGAGAGGAG